TTGATGCACCCAAGGAAAAGCAGCCAGCTGGTGGCAACGCCAAGCCGATTCCGTTTCCAGGCCGGGACAACTCCGGTCAGGGGGGCAATCCCGTGTTGGTTTATGTCGACCCCGAGTTGGACGAGATTCGGTATGGTGGTTTTGAGCAGCATGAAAGGACGATAGCACCTCTTCGCGGATTGAATGTTCATTTGAATGAGAAGTTTAAAGTTGCGTTTTGTGAAGACAACCAAGCAACGATTCACATCATTCAGACTGGTAATTCCGCGCAGCTTCGTCATGCTGACAGAACTCAAAGAACTTCTTTGGCGTGGCTTCGAGAACAATTCACGAAAGGTTTCTTCAATCTCGTCAATGTCAACACTGTGTATCAGGTTGCGGACATCTTGACCAAGCCGTTTACGAGCAAAGCAAAATGGGATCACGCGTGCAATCTTATTGGAGTACGGTGGGTGCAGTTGGATGGAAACATTACAATCAAACCAGCCCCCACTAGCGAGGCGCAAGCTTCCGCCGTTTCCACGCATGAAACCTATGATCGGTTCTTGTGCGAATTTTGCTGTTCTGATGATTCCAAGCTCGGTGACAAATCAAGATCACCAGCATTTGGTTGCAAGGTGCTTAGAGTAACTGAACGTCAGAATGCGTTGGTTGCTGATACATTGAAATGGGTATTTGACGAGGTGCAACTTTTCAGGAAGAACGTCAAGTCCAAAACACCGCCCTGTGTGATGCTTCATGCTTCACTTCCGTGTACGGGTGGGTGCCCCTGGAACAATATCAATGGTCAGACTCAAGAAGGTCAAGCCAAGATCCAGGAGCACAAGGCGTTGTTTCGCAAACTGCTGAAGCGTTTGGACAAACTTATCACTATGCTTCGACAGCTTGACATTGTGCTTGTGATCAACATGGAACTTCCTAAGCTTTGCAGTTATTGGAAGAACTATTTCGTGCATGATTTCCTTATGAAATATGAGATGGTCAAGTACAATTGCGATGGTTGCATGTTTGGTGTCCTTGACAGGGATGGAAATTTGTTGCAAAAGTCATGGACTATTGCTTCTTCCTGTCAATCGTTGGCCAAACTGCAACAGTATAAGTGCACAAAGGATCATCAGCATGGACAGTCCAGGGGGGCGGCCCTCAAACGTGCTGAATCTTACACGTATGAAATGACTGACCTGATCCATGGATGTTTTTTCTGAGTTTGCTGACAGCATGAAACAGGTTGTCACCGATAGCTCGGCTCAGAGACCAACAAAACGTGCACTTGTTGCTCTTAAGCTTCCCTCACCGGTAGCCGCAATGGCTGCTTACAATCTCGGGGAGTATGAGCAGGGCAACTTGGAGTACTGGCGAGGTGTGATGACGAGCTTCACGTCGAACACCTTGTTCCAGGAGACGAGGCCTGAGGATCGCAAGACAATGGAGCAGATCCTCGGAGCACAGGCCACCCTTCAGAGTTCATGCGCTATGTGGGCGGCTGACTACGCGCCGGAGCTCATGGATACGCTCTGCGCCGTTAACGACAAAGGTCTTGGCCGCATCACGCCCGGGGCAACCTGTGGCCGGAATAGCGTATACCTTGTTGTGAGTGACTCCAGCCTCGCCCTCATCAGCGGTGGCAAGAAGAACCGCAAGAGGGCGGATTTGGCGCAGGACATGAACTACAACCGCAGCACTGGTTGTACCCACTGTGAGGTGAGAATGTGTTGGGGAAAGGATCTCACATTTCTCACGTGGACAGTGAAGAGCGCCATGAAGGACTTGAAGAAGCGCCCTGAGTTTAAGGACCACGACTTCTACGTGACGGTGTACTGGTCCGGGAACGAGCTCGTTGGCAGTGGTGGGATCTGCGATGAGCCCGAATGGCCATACCGTTGCGGAGACGGTCACTGGCCCGAGCTGTTCAACAAGTGCGCCAAGGCGATCGATGTGCTTGAGGAGTGCAGGAGTTGGTGGAGCATTGCAAACATCACGATCTTGGCCAACACCGAGGGTTCGTACTATATGCTCCCGCCCATCTACAACCAGTTCATGGAAAAGTTGTTGGATGAGTCGCTCAACAAGCACAAGCTCCTTCGCAAGAAGGAGTCGACGTTCTTGGTATCTCGTCAGGACCGGCTTGACAACTATCACATGATGGACTCCATCGAGAACCGGAAGACGACGGTGGAGTGGCTGTGGTCGTTGTACAACGTCATGAAGTGTGTCGCTGTCGTTGAGTCCCACAAAGAAGATTTCAACAACGTCAGGTTGTACCTTGAATATTCTCATGACGCCGAAGCTGGACTCAACCCCAACACTTTGGCCGAGTATGAGGCGAACAGGAAGCTCACTCTTGAGTCATGGGAAAGCCTTCAACGTCCGATCAAGCTCGCGAAGGGCCGCATCCTCGAAAAGATCGAGGAAGTCGAAATCAAGGAGGAGATCGACTATGATGACGATGATGCACTCCCGCAAGGGAGTGCCGCTGAGGCTGCGCTTGGCGTCAAGGCCGCTCCGGCTACACCCAAGTTCACCGCGAAAGCATCGCCTAAGGTACAGGCGAAACCATCGCCTAAGGTACAGGCGAAACCATCAACTGCTGCGGTGGCGTCGGATGTGCGGGGGGCAACCCCTGCCGGAAGCGCATTGCCAGGCAAGCCCGGCGGAACCGTCATCTTCCGCGGCCAGGAGTATGAGGCGAGGATTCTCCCGGGCACGATCCTGAAGGTGCCCAACTTCATGAAGGGAGAAACGTCCTCTACCGATCGGTGCACAACCATATCTGGTATGCTTCGTGGCAGGTTTCAAGAACAGAGGCCACTCGACTTCGATGAGAACTATTTTGTCGACGTCCATCAGCTATGTGACAAATTCAACAGAAAGACCCGCAGCAATATCGGGTACAAAACGCTGTTGAAGATTTTTGCACTCGATCCGAAATGCAGATACACCGTCCTCGCGATCAAGCACCCTTCGGCTGCCGAGAACAACCAGGAGTGGGTTGTCATCAAGGTTCGTGCCAGTCAGGGACACGCCAGCAGCGTTGATGCTGATGGCGACATCAGCCGGAACCAGTATGCACTTGCGAAGGCCGTCTATGGGAAATTTCTCCCGGAGGACGCTCGCAAGGTTGGACTGCAACTTTCACCGGTTGATGATGGCCCTGGCAAACTATACCATCGCACGAGCAAGAACGCAGCCGAGAACATCGTCAGGACAGGTTTGGTCCCGGGTGGCGTTGGTGCCACGGAGAGTGGCCGCTCTCAAAGCCACTTTTCCATCCACCCGGTAGAGAGCTCATCGTATAATGCTGGAGTCCGAGCAACTATGCCCATTGAGCTGGTGATCGACTTCAAGTATGCGATTGAGCTCGGAGTGGTGTTTTTCCTTTCCGAGTCTGATGTCATGCTGACCAACGACATCGTTCCCAATGACTCCATTCTGTACTACACAGACGCGAAGACCGGAGAAGTGCTTTGGAGGAACGCCCTTCGTCTTGAGGCATTGGAGAATCAAACGACTGTCGATATGCTCGCCGCAAGGCGAGCCGTCACTGTGACTGCAGACGAGGCCTTTCAGACCGATGCGGAGGGGAACAGGGCCACAAATCCTGAAGAAGAGCAGACAAATGAGGATACGGCCGCTTCTTGCCCGGGGCAACCCGCGGCCGACACCTCAGTTGTCCGTTTCAAGACCTTTGCGATGCCCGTCCACTACACGGACTGCAGCCTCTGCGGCGAGGACATGATGCAGGGGCAGCTCAAGTGTCAGCGCTGTGGACGGAGCACCAAGGAGACCAACGACGTCCAGCTCTTCAGAGCCGCAAAGCGGAGGATGCAGATGCTTGAGGAGGTGAGCCACCGCGTCGGCAAGACGGTTGACCAGCTCCTCATCAATGATTTCAAGGGCTATGCTGATGTTGCAAAGAGAGGAGCAACATCCTTTGAAGCCAAGCAGATCGAGGCTTCAAAGAACTACGACAGCAGGGCCCGCAAGCTTGGGTACGGCAACGTGGTTGATCGGTTCGACAAAGACGCAACCTTTGCCCTTCGCATGGTGGAGCAAGGGCACAACCGTGACAGCCTCTACCAGATGTCTATCTATAGGTTTTGTGTCCTCCCCGAATTTCCACGGAGTTATGATCAACGACTTCTCGGGGTTGGGCCACGCTATGGAAAACGAGGCCTCCAATATGTGAGGACCGTCTACGTCACCGGCGGCCAGGTCGGGGACTATGACAACAGCCTGCTCGAGTTTCCATGGCTATTCTCGTACAACGGGAAAATGCTGAGTCTTCATCAATTCGTCGACCAGGTCAACATCCTCCCGGGGATGCGCAATCTTGTCACCTTTGGCGGGAAGTTCCCTACGCTCCGGGCAACCGGAGCCGTGGACCTCGAAGCTGAAGTCAAGGAGATTTGCGGCCAGGCGGAGGACGATGCGAAGAAGCTCGCACGGCGCAGCCAAAGGCAAAGCGCCGAGGACCGCGCCCGCGGACCTGTGCAAGCTGCTCAGCCCGCCTCCAGCTCCGCTGCCAGAAGCCGAAGCTGGAGAGATTGGGGCAGTCAGGACTGGAGCAGTCAGGACTGGAGCAGCTGGCAGTGGTCGACCTGGAGTTCGCGCGGCTGGTCTTCTAGCGGAAGGTGGTGAATGCAATCCTCATCACAACGGAGCCCTTCTGAGAGAGAGTAGCAATTTGCATGCACGACGGATGTGTAATGTCCATTTTCAACGTGCAATGGATGTGCGTATGGAATCAAAGCGGGTTGCAAAACCTGCCGACATTTTCGTTGTTGCTCAATCTCAAATGAGGGGGGTGTGGATTCAGGTTCCAACCCTGTGCATGAGTGTACCTTGTACATGCTCCGCCGCTACAGACTTCAATTGCACTACCAGCAGTGTGAAAAGTAGTCAACGGTTTGCTGCTTGCCTAGGTATTACCTTAGGTGGCCTAGGCTTGATAACACAATTTTGGCCCTCGATGTCCTCCTTCAGACAAAACAACCAACCAGGAGGAGCTCGAGAAGGAGAAGAAGAAGAAAAAGAAGGAGCGACACCCCTCCAATTCTCTCCCCGCAGACCCCCAGTGCTGCCCTTGCTTGCTTTGCGGTTTTCCTTGTCTTTATTGTTTTGTTTGTTTTTGTTTTGAGCGGGGGAAAGCGGAAGGGGGGTTCCTTGGGAGTCAACCAATCAAGAAACATGGTCTTCCCCATGGATCTTCACTACGTCAATCAAGTGGGTAATAACCGTGAAGAGGAACAACCATGGTGCTGACCCACAAGAGCCATGGTTATAAGTCTCCGCTCGGTGTTTTTTTCCACCAGGCTTACTAACTACTTCCCTGACGTACCCGATCGCCTTTTGAGAGCGGGCCGGGGGGAGGTCTTGTTTTCTTTCACTGGATAGAGAGCATCCCGGCTGGTTCTTATATGTATGGGTGGCTTGGGGGGCCTGCGTCACGGGCACAGACTGTCTGGTGTATTTGCGTCTTGCGGCCAGTTTCTGACTTTGAAGCCGGATCAAGCCACGATGCAAGGTAAAGTACTTCGCTTTTTTGTAGCTCCGAATGCCTGGCGGCCAATCTTGGGGCAACTACCCTGAATGGAGCATTCGGCTGGCCTAGGCACGAACAGAGTTGAGCGGATATTTGCTGACAAAGTCCATGTCTCTTGGGCGCACTGATCCGATTAGTGCAATTCCTTTCACCTCCCCAGATCCCAGGCGTTTGGCTCATGATCCCAGGCGTTTGGCCCATGGCAAGCCCTTGTTGACCTACCTTTACCAGGCAAATGGCCCTCCAAGTTGCAGCAGAAGCAGACAACATCTGAGCGGTTCAAGCAGAACCTCTTATGCAAATCCTACTTGTTCCAATTAATTTTTGCACTACTAACATTAGGCCGGCAGGGCTTTGCTTGTGGTGATAGTAATGACTAAGTAGTCGTATTGACTAAGCGTTGATTGAGCGACTCTTCGCTCCTTGAAACTCCGGCAAATTTCTGGGTGTTTTAGGAGACCCCTACGATTTTGTTTCCAGGAGGACGAAGATCCGTGGTTTTCTTTTGGCCGGCCGGCCTGGATCGATTCAGGTGCGAGACCCCCTGGACTGGGAGGATGACAAGTTTCCGAAGATGGCCGAGAGAGACGCGGGGCCCCTGGCTGCAGCTTCACTGATTCACGCCTTGAAGGCGTTTTTTTCGAGCGCTTGTTGTGCATGGCTTTAGGCCCGGGTATAAGCCAAAAAGTCAGATTAGGCGTTCTTGCTTGCATGGGAAAGTGTATCTGCATGCATGGCTCAACGTAACCCAATGTGCAGGGTTGGCCGAAAAGTCAAAGAAGATGTTAGACGTTCTTTAGCTGGCGTCCTGCGTTCGGCGTCGTCACCCTTTGGGGTTGGACCATTTTGGTGCTAAACAAAAAGTTCGACAGGGTACCTTTTTGGGCCATCTATACTCATTAAGTGAGTCAAACACCGTGGCCCGATTCGGTTTCTGAGTTTGCCGAAGCCTAGCTTTCAAGCTGTTGAAACTACTGTCTACTCCAAAAACCCACAACCGATCGGTTTTCCATGGTAAATACCGATTCCTTTTTTCTATATACTTTTTAGTAGACGGTTGACGTGGTACCCCCCAAAAAGATGTCGGGGTGCAGTACGGGGGTGGCTCTGGGGATCCGGGGTTCAACTCCCAAGCTCTGATCGGAGCCTTCGGGTAGTAGACTCACTTGGAAGCGAATCGAACCGTGTAACCTTTGGTTTTTTTTTCCTAGCCCCAGACCCTACAAATATGAAGGCCTTTGACCCCAGACAGACCCCAAAAAACCCCCCTCTTGGGATTTCAGGGTTCCATAGTCCACTTTTCGGTCCCAGAAACTGATCGCCAAGCCGCGTTTGGGCTGAGATGGCTCGTCCACCCCGATTTCAGTTGCCGATTTCGGGTCGGGAACTGCCGCGCCTCAGGTGGTTGAGGCCCTCATCGACCAGAACGTCTTGGCGAAGATGCGGCAGCAGGCCACGTCCGACGGAAAGACGCCCGGCGAATCGGCACCCAACCCCCGGATTTTCCAAATACCCCAGCTTGTTTCGGGGTATCATGTTGACCCTCTACTAAAAAAGGCGGTATTTACTATGGAAAGCCAGGCTTTTCCAACAATATCCTGAAAAAGGCGGGTATTTTGAGTGGGGGGTAGATGGGCTCCGTAGTAAATATGGTCAGCCCCAAACAAGGAACATGCCAACGCAAATGCGCGATGCTCAATTGTTGGGTTCTGCCAAAATGGATGTGATGACCACTGAACCCGGGATACAAAGGTTAGTGGCGCGACCAGGAGCCTCAAACCGTTCGTAACAAATGGGAATTTATTCTATGTTCGGGCACTCTCCCATTTCTGTGAGTAGTTTCAGGGTCCCGGTATTGTTTGAAGAACCGATCGGTTTGCCAGGGTAAATGCCGATCAACTGTCATTTGTTGCTTGCCAAAACATTGAATTTCCAAGCAAAACAACGTTTTCTTGTCCGAAAAGCTCGTCTTTGCCGCGAAGAAGCTGGTTTTTGCTACGAAAACGTTCGCCTTCTTTCGTCAAGGGTCATCTGCAAAGCCGTTCGGACGCTTCCCTTCTGCTTGCTTCGCGCAGGCGAAGAAGCAATACATCGAAGCGCTGGGGCCAGATCCTGCGAAGGTGGTGAGAACTTGGAAGCGCCTCGAAGGGAACCAAGGAACTAAGCCAAATACCTACTCTTTTTAGGGTGTGATGCCGACCCTCTACTAAAACAAGAGGTATTTGCCATGGAAAACCAACAAAAACAAACATGAAAAAACAACGGGTATTTGGAGTAAGGGTTGGTG